TCAGCTAACAATCTTTTACTTATCTTTATCCTATACATTCATATATATATATATATATATATATATATATATATATATATATATATATACATATGCATGTTTTTATCTTTACCTTCATTGTAATTCAGTCAACTGTTTTTCCGCTGTTATCTTTTTCTTCCATATTAATCATTGCGGTCATCATGCATTTTTTTCACACTCTATATAATCGAATTCATTTCAATGTTATTTGAAATATTATTCTATATTTGAAGTATGACACATCCCATTTAAAGGCCTTTAACAATGTTTTTTAGCGAGATCCACATATCATTATCTTATCTTCTCTTGAGATTAGTTTATCTTGTAGGATTTGCAGTTAATAATTTCTTTTAATCAATCTTCGGAAATATTTTCTGCATTTCTGTGATTTATTACTTTCATTTCTATGAATTTAATTTGTTGTATCTCTTCCGTTACACTTATTTTTTAATATTTTGTTATCGGCTGGCATATTCTTGTGCCTGTCTGACATTTCAGTTGCATCTGACGATTTTCGTTAATATATTCGTACCATTTTCATTTTCTTTCACAGAGAATGAATTTCACAAGCATCAATTTAAATAAAATAAATTTTCCCGAACAACCTAAGACTGTTATATCCTGAAATGAAGAGGTTTTCTTATTTCTTAAATGTATGAAAATATTATATTCAGCTTGAATCTTGATCTATATTTGTGCCATTGATCCATGTATAGAGAATTGTTGATACACGTGGTCTGGACATTCTGCTATTGATTTAAATCTTCTTGATAAAATACAAAGGGAAATCTGCTGTGTTATTTTCCTGACTTGTCACTTCGGTCTTAGTCTCTTTCTTATCGCCGTAACATGGCTAACTTCCTTGTGCCTTTTCTGTATTTTTCTGTTAAGCATTCTGATGAAATATGTTATTTAGATTCATGAATCTAAGCACGGTACTGCCGGCAAAGATAACTATTTTGCAGAAGAAAACGCTAGATGACATGATTAGTTCTAGGCTAACCGTTTCTTCCCTCGTATCGCTCGCTTTTGGTACGTTCTTCTCGCTTCTTGATCAGATAATGTTGAATTTAAATGCAATATCAATCGTTATCTTCTCTCTTTTTAATTTTTGTACTTGTATTTTAATCTTTCCTTAATAATATTTTTCCTTATAATCTCTCATATTCAGTAACTGCTTGTGGCTTATTATCTTGCTTGGAGTGAAATGTTGAAAATGAATTCATCTTATATGGTTCAGCTGATTTATTGTATTGTCTCATTTTCTAACAATTTATATTTGTTTCGGATTCGACGCTTTGTTTGTTGTCATACAGATATATATTTACAATTCTAAGAGAAGAGCCAAGTATTTATATTTGTAAGGATGTTATTATAGATTAGTATAATGGACAAGATAGCCGCTGGAGGATACAAACAAATAGTTACTGTTATAGATCATTGAACATCAGTATTTCAAATAAATAATCAAACTTTGGAAAGCAATATTTATTTGAATCAATATGTATTGTTAAGGACATAGAAAGGAGATATTTTTTAAATTGGGTCGCGATGTTTATAGTGTTGGTTGATTTGTTAAACGGCATATCAACTCCTTATGGATCATTTAATGCTGAAATTTAATTTTCTTTGGAGCTTCCTGTTATAAAATTATGTTATTTGACTTTCATAATTGAATACATAGTATATGATATTCAGCTTTTGTGTATATACATGTTTGTATAGACATGATTACTAGAGGCGGTGATATATATGTTTTATGTAGGAGTTTTATTTTAAAATTATATTTTGGATTCGTTTTATATAACACATTTTAGCATATTTTATCGACTGATGACATGAGAGAGATAATTCATGTTGGTTGATTTTGTTTAGCGACATATCAACCACTATACATGATTTAATGTTGAAATCTGAATAATTTGAACACACTTTTATGGCTTCAACTAAATATTTTTTGAATGCAATTGTATGATTTTAACTACAGATGAAATGTATTGTTGTTCATTTTACTAGATTTATTGTTGGTCTTAATTATATAAATATATATTGCTGGTCTTTTTTACTATTAAAATATATTTAGATACTTCCATAATGTTTTTTTATTATGATAGATTCCCTATTTGTCCACAGCTTACAGGTGCTACCACAACTTATCATGGAAAATGATCAATGGTAAAGAAATATGTACATTTAACCATAAAATTGACCTGAATCAAAATAATTAAAAAATAGGAAAAGAGATAATGGAAAATATTGAAATAACGGGGTTAAGAAAGAAAGGGGTTGAGAAAGAAAGAAAGAAAGAAAGAAAGAAAGAAAGAAAGAAAGAAAAAAAAAGAAAGAAAGAAAGAAAGAAAGAAATGGGTTGAGAAAGAAAGAAAGAAAGAAAGAAAGAAATGGGTTGAGAAAGAAAGAAATAAAGAAAGAAAAAAAGAAAGAAAGGGGTTGAGAAAGAAAGAATGGGGTTGAGAAAGAAAGAAAGAAAGAAAGAAAGAAAGAAAGAAAGAAAGAAAGAAAGAAAGAAAGGGGTTGAGAAAGAAAGAAAGAAAGAAAGGGGTTGAGAAAGAAAGAAAAAAGAAAGAAAGACCGAAAGAAAGAAATAACGGGGTTGAGAAAGAAAGAAAGAAAGAAAGAAAGAAAGAAAGAAAGAAGGAAGGAAAGAAACGCCTTTATCCACTGTGCCATGTGTCCTTGAGAAGATATGGCACAGTGGATAAAGTCCATGGTTAGATCCAGTAACAGGACCCAAGCAGTTTGAATTCAATACCCGGTGAAGGCAGTGGAGAACATGGAGAGGTGAATTAACAGGAGTTAAATGATAACTGACATCCATTAAACATGGCACGTGGAACTAGAACAGTCTACAACAGCCGAAACGTTGTAATAAATATGGCGACAAATATGAGGACAATAGTCCGAATAATGTAAATAATGTACATAATACCTCATCTCAGAAATATAGACAGAAAGGTGAAAAAATAGCAATAAGTAATAGATAACTTCCAATGAATATAATGATCATAATATATATACAATAAATTAAATAAAATGAATAATAATTGAAAAGTATATTATATGATTATATTTCTTTTAAAAATAAAAGCAGTATTTACATTTCTCAGTTAAATTTTACATTCCTTCATCTTTTAGAGCTCCAAAGCAAACGAGTTTTCTTTCCCTGATTTCAGAAGGCCATATCAGTAGAAAAGGAATTCGAACATTATTTATAGAAACTGTTTTTTAGTAGAAAACATAACGTCCGAATCGTTCATTTCCCTAATATATATAATTATACAGATATTTATATCAGAGTATAACTCCATCTTATATACTAAGCGTAGATAAGTGACAGAACCTATCGGGTAGATACAACCCTTCAATACCAAAGTTCGACTGGATCTAACTAACGCCTTTATCCACTGTGCTATGTGTCCTTGAGGACACATGGTACAGCGGATTAAGGAGACAATATGAAACTGATAACTGACATCCATTAAACATGGTACGTGGGACTAGAACAGTCTACCACATTGAGGGAAATAAAAGGTTCAGTTCGACATTCCAACCACCTGAAGAAGGCCGCAGCGTACAACGGCCGAAACGTTGTAATAAATATGGCGACAAATATGAGGACAATAGTACGAATAATGAAAAGTATTAATGTCAGTTCAACTTCTGGATGTATTTTCAAGTGTTCAATTAAAGATAAGCACCTAAAAAGGGACTGAATGTGTTCCTTGTTGTTTCTGTTCATTCACCTGGTGTTTGAAGAAATGTTTGCCCGCTTCGATAGTTTACTGAAAAATGTGCAATCAGGAAATGTACTTATCCGTGTCCTTGTTAATATGTTACCGACATTAACTTCGTCCCTTTTAGATGTGCAGGAGATAAGCTCTTCCAATTAACCCCTGGTCATTTCAGTTATGGATTCATCGCCCTAATATATCTTGCATCCAAGCTGCTACATTAGATGTCTAAAACGAAACAAAATGTCTTAAAAACGTGATGAGTGTGAGAAATCATTCTTTATAATTCTGCAGTAAAATAGTTTGTTGATTTATTACATTGGTACGGCTTATCAACCGTTTCCATGTTGTTTAATACCAGAGTTATTCTATTTTTTAGATAATAGCCGTTTAGTGATTCAAGTATTACTAATTAACCCATAGATAAGGGAGAAAGGGTGAATTTATACGTTTTCCAATGAATTGGACCTCTGAGCCATTATCCACCCGCGATTTCAAATTTAATACACTTAGTATCCACAAGCGGTCACCCATATATGTTTGACCTTGTTTCAACTTAAGTGACCGTAGGGGAACCCGTGTTTCAACGTGATATGGCCGTAAGCCCAAGGTAGTTTGTACTAAGATTTTTGGACTGTTAAGTGAAACAGTAAGTTTGCTAGTGATCATTATTCTTGGTAAATATTAGTTTTTACGTTATGATAACTAAAACTTTCCACTTATAAATCCATATTTGTCAACTGAGTACGCAGACATAGAGACTTATGCCCGAAAGTCTATAGAAATTATTTTAAAATTGCAGAAAAGTAAATTACTGTCGTGAATATTTACGGTTTATATTTATTTTGCCAATTTTTTTTAAGTCGATGTAATTCTTGATTTGGCGTAAATCATTTGAAATTTGTATCGATCGGTTACATTTTCATTGGACACTTATTACCTATCACAATTATTCCATGTCTGTCTGTCTATCCATTCATCAATCCATCTATCTTATCCATCAATCCATCCATCAATCCATCCATCCGTTCGTCTATGCATTCATTCATCCATCCATCTGTCTATCCACCAAACCCTCGATCCATCCACTCGTTCGTCCAGTTATCCATCTGTTCGTCTATCCATCAATCTCTCTATCCACCCATCTATCCATCCATCCATCTATCCATCCGTCTATCTATCTATCCACTAATCCATCCCACATCCACCGATTCATCCAACCATTCATCCATGTATCCATCATTCTATCCATCCATCCATCTATCCATTTATCCACCATTCCATCCATCCATCCACCAATCCATCGAACCATTCATCCATCTACCCACCATTCTATCCATCCATCTATCTATCCATCTATCCACTAATCCATCCACCATCTATCCATCTATCTACCAATCGATTCACCTAGCAATCTATCAATCTATCCACCAATCCATCCATCTATCCATTCATTCCTTTCATCTATATACCCCTCCATCCATCTATCTATCCATCTATCAACCGTTCTATCCATCCCTCCATCCATCCATCCATCCATCCATCCATCCATCCATCCATCCATCCATCTACTCATCCATCCATCCCGCTATGCATCCATCCATCCATCCATCCCTCCATCCATCCATCCATCCATCCATTCATTCATCCTGCATCTATCAATCCATCCACCTATCCATCTATCTATCCCTCCATCCATCCATTCATCCATCCATTCATCCACCTATCCATCCATCCATCCATCCATCCATCCATCCATCTATCAATCCATCCATATATCTATACCTCCATCCATCCATTCATTCATCCATCCATCAATCCATCCATCTATCTCTCCCTCCATCCATCCATTCATTCATCCATCCATCCATCCATCTATCCATCCATCCATCTATCTATACCTCCATCAATCCATTCATTCATCCATCCATCCATCCATCTATCTATACCTCCATCAATCCATTCATTCATCCATCCATCAATCCATCCATCTATCTCTCCCTCCATCCATCCATTCATTCATCCATCCATCCATCCATCCATCTATCTATCCCTCCATCCATCTATCCATCCATCCATCCAACCATCAATCCATCCATCTATCTATCCCTCCATCCATCTATCTATCCCTCCATCCATCCATTCATTCATCTATCTATCTATCTATCTATCTATCTATCTATCTATCTATCTATCTATCTATCTATCTATCCCTCAATCCATCCATCCAGCTATCTTAACTCCTTAATATTAATAAATTAATATACATAATTTATTTAATTTCATTCATTATTATATTTCATTGTCTCTATTCCGCTCCATTGGCCATTTCTGTCTCCCTCCCGGTTTATCTGTGCCTGTCTTATTTTATGTCTTTCTTTTTCTTCTCTGTACATATTTCGGTGAATATTTAGGTCGTTTCCCCTGAGAATTATCAGCGTTTTAGATTTCAATCACTTGTCAATATTGCGTGGAATATTGTCATAAATTTTCCGCATCTCGGCATCATTTATCTGTCCGTTTCGACTTTCTGCTTGCATCGAACCATAAAAACCCGGTGTGCCCATCAAATAAAATATATTCTCCTGAATAATCTATCAATATACAACTAATCAGACAATAGTGAAATGTGTAAACATATACTAACATCCAGACCTCTGCTCTTTCAGAAAATAGAAACAAAAAAAAAAAAAAACAGATACCTATACAGATATACGATTACACGTATTTAGTACATAATCAGCTCCATATTTGAATAATTAAATGCACTTATATCATACTAGTGGTAAAGAAGAGAATGTTGGGAAAGTGATAGAGAAGAGAAAAGCGAGTTGAGTAATGCAAGACCAAATAGACCACGGGGAAAATAAATAATAAAATCAATTATTATGTTATATTTTTTTTTACTGAATACAGTTATAAGTAATTAAAAATCAAAATAAAGTAAAAGTTGAAAAATATGTAGTAATAATATAATTTAATTTTAATGATATCGCAAGCTGCTATGATGAAAAAAAAATAAACACTAAAATGAATCCGACAGAAAATAAATATTGATTAACGAAGACGTATTTAAATCTAGAAAAATTAGATGGGACATGCGACAGAAACATTCCAGCAGAAAATAAAATGGTACTATATCCTAAAATGCATCGCCGATGTTGGGTGATGTCTCAACTATTGCTATCGAAAAATATATATTATTTGTAAACCCCCTTCCGTCAGAACACACGATAGAGAAACTAGTTAAAAAAACAGGAGAATAATGCGTGAAAAGAGATGTTATAAAATTGTTAGGGAACAAAGAGCTGCTGTAAATATTTACAAATAGTAAATATCCACAAGCTAAAACATGCTTGCGAAAAGATAAGAAATGCGTTTCTGATGATAGAAACATTGGATTATTATCAGCAGCCAGGGCAAAAGAATTGGATACAGAAATGGCTAATGATCATAGATGAATTAGACCAAGAAACAACATTATTACAAATTGCTCAATACACGTGTGAAAATATACATAACTGACGACCTTTATTTTTAATAAGTATATATATATATATATATATATATATATATATATATATATATATATATATATATATATATATATTATAGATAGAAATCCAAATTTACCTCATTCGAATAGCTATTTCAACCAACAAGAAGACCCGTATTGCTTTTGTCAACTCCTCAGAATTATATACCAACAGATTATATATATATATATATATATATATATATATATATATATATATATATATATATATATATATATATATATATATAATATAAAAGAAAGAAAGAACAGTAAGATATATAATCCGGTGTTCTTATAGATATTTTTATTTTTACAAAATAGTGCTCAAAGTAAATTTACAAAGCATTTTATAAATTAATTGATTTAAAATGTTTTTTTTAAATCAATTAATTTATAATATATATATATATATATATATATATATATATATATATATATATATATACTGTACATTTGAATTGACAACAACAATGTTTGTTCTCTGAGAATATTAATTTATTGTTCTTCGATTTACTTTAAACTATTTGTTTAATTTTCTTTTGAATTTCCTCTTTTAACGTATCTTTTCCATCCAGTGACTTCTGTGCGTTTTCGACCTTAACAAGTCATTAAAACAATTTTCATTACTTGACAAAATTGTGACTATAGGTATGCGTTCTCTTAGATGGATTCCCAGTTCCATGTTTATACGCGTCATTGAGTATAGAGTATTTTCCTTTTTCTCAATATTAACTCTTTCATTATCAAGTTCAATCTTTACAATCGGCTTAATGATTAATTTCGTTCTTAAATCAAATAATACATAATTGACGATAGGTTGTTTGTTCCATTGTTTCGGCCTCTAATATTTATAGTAATTATTTCTGTGGAATTTATAAAGTATATGAAGTATTTATAATTGTTTCTCGTTGTTCACTTGTTTTCGTAATATGCTATATAAATGAGCAATAATTCAATATATGACAAGTCAACCGGTGAAATAACGTAATCATTTATTAAATAATTCTATTTTCATGACTGAAGAAACAAAGTATGTGAAACGAATCATTCTAAAAGTGGGTTATCGAAGTCATTCACGAATTATGTTTGTTGAATAATTTTTCTGTATTTTTCTTTGAAATGATGTTGGAATATCTTTTATTAATCGTATGTGATGAAATTTATTTGTTTGCTTTTTATCGATATATATATATATATATATATATATATATATATATATATATATATATATATATATATATATATATATTATAATTATTTAAAAAATATGATTCCTCCGCTACATAGGAGTGCTCATGTTTCAAAAACGAGAGTCAAAAAGTACCAATCTCTCTTTCATCCTCAAGCGAATATTCAGGAACCTAAAATTTCGCTTGAGGATGAAACAGGGCTTGATACTTTAATTCAATTTAATTTCAATAGTTATACTGACGTTTTTGGCTCTTGTTTTTGAAACATGAGAACTCTTATGTAGCGAAGGAATCATATTTTTTTTTTAAAACAATTATACTTTAACCTCTACCTCTGTATGTAGCATAGTTTTTTTTTTTAAATAAAAAATAAAAAAATACTCACGAACACCGGATTATTTACCTAACGTGATCTTTCCTATTTTTTCTAAATATATATATATATATATATATATATATATATATATATATATATATATATATTTAACATTAAAAAAAAAATATTAAAAAGATATTGCGTGATTGGAAAACAAAATTACATACAGTGAAAAAACTGAACAGAAATTACACGAAAATGATGTTAAGCTGAAGAAAATCCCAGAAAATAATTCAGGAAAATGTAAAAACGTAATATACCCAAAATTGGGATTGAGGATCTATATATTTAAGATTAATAAGGCAAATGTATTTCTGGTAGAAAAAGGCATAGACGTCGCCAAATTACTACTGTGAAGTAAATAACACTATAGGTAACATGGTGAAGTATTAAATGAAAACCTATGACTAACAATCACTAATTTTGATTGCTAGTCGAGAATTTGTATCCTTTATGAAAAAATCTAAATTTTCTTGAAGGAAACATGATGAAGATGAATGATATTTGGTGATAGTATTGCAGAGAACAATATTAAAAATACCTTCTAATTTTTATCAAAATGAAAGCAGATAATTATTACAAGTACTACACAATATACATCCAGCAAAAAACTCGTGACTTATAATTAAAGAGATGTAGATGAGAATGGTAAATGAATATGAAACAAAAACATATAGGAAAAAATGTAACCTTCTCCATATAATGTAAAATTCAAGACAGATATTAAGTTAAAAAAAGTATATATCAGAGATCCTATTCACTGGTTAATTAATAAAAGAAGACTTTAGTTATATGTAAATAAGATGTATGATGTATAGCTGATATATTTATTAATGAAACAAATCTTGTACAAATATATGGATAGCGAAACCAGTCATCCCAACAACAAATAAGAGAAAACAGGGGCACCTCGGCGTGGTGTAATGGTTAGCAAGTTCGTTTTGCTAGAACTAATTACGACTGAGTAGTGAGTTCGATCCTCACTGGGTGCCCTATACTTTCGGCTTTGTGCCACATCTAATCTACGCTTGAAAAATCTCAATACGAGAAAAATATTATTTTTAATAATTTTCTGAGCTTAATATTATCTGAGAGTCATACAATATCATGCTTATTTAATCATATCATCCGATTCGTAGCAATACTTATTGGTTAATAATTATTTTTATCGTGAAAAGAAAATGAATCATAAAATATGTTATTGATTATATATCTGGAATACAAAATTAACATACAAAAAACTGCCTCAAAAAATTAAATATGTACATTATTATGAAGAATATATAGCTGAAGAAGTACATGTTAGTCTCTGTAGTTATGTGAGATGTACAAGACATGCAAAACTGTGAAGAATTCATTGTGCTATTAATCAACTTGGAAACGTGGAATGAAAGCTAATAAAGGCGACGAGGGGGACGAGAGTCAAAAACTAGCATTGCAATTATTCATGATTGAAGTGTACGTTGGAAGATTCTTCCTGTGATAGCGAAAACATCGCTGGGTATATGACGGTTCTATGCAATTTAATAATGGAAATGCTTTCCTGAGATTTCTGAAAATAATCAATCAACTGCAATGGCAGGCGAAAATCGGTAATGTAATTGGCAGAACACTGGAAGAAATTAAGGACAATGAACGTTAATAAGGACAATAGTTTGATATTGACGAGTACTTTATACTGGAGAATCAATGAGAAGATTCGCAAGAATTGTTTTAAGATCTAGGCATCTTTCTTTAAAGATACGGAGATATAAATACACATATATATGCGCATATATATATATATATATATATATATATATATATATATAAAAGAGAAGAATATGTTGCTGTACGTGTGAATGTGTTTGCGTTGAAAGATAGAAAAAAAAAGCCTACATATGCTTTCATATAATGAATATCCAATATATCAAGAGGACCTATCGAACAACATGCAGTTGCTCGAATCTTTTTAACGTAAAGTTATGCATCGAGTCATCGTCTTTGTGAACTGCGGGTAAGCCTCATAATGTATTCATTACATACTTGGGTCTGTTTACTTTTTCTTTTTGCTGTAAATATTCTTCACTTTGCTGCAATTCCCATATATGTTCAATTGGTATTTTCTATATTCCTGTGAAGAGGTATATCGTAACTATTAACACCATTTACATCGTTC